TTTAAGAGTTTTAGTCAAATGCTTTATAATATAGTATAGATATATGTGTATGTGTGCGCGTGTATGTGTGCGCGTGCATGTGTTTTTTTATTATGCGGATGTTCGTTTTAAGCCTAAAAAGCCTTTTTTTGTTAATTGTAGGTGTCTGAACCAACTTGTGTGCACCACCATGACTAATCCTAGGGGTCCTGGAGAACAACTACGAAAATCCCCAGTGGTTTTGCAAGACTCAAACTGACGACCTTTGAACAGAATCCCCAAATTTTGATACACCTAAGATGGAATTCAAACAAATGAAAACAAAAAAACGATCAACTGAAAGCATTTTATGACTACCTTGTTGAAGGTAATGACATTACTATTTACGACTGGTGGGTTGCCGAAATATTATGTCAAATGTTCGAAGTAAGGGGTGGAACTACGTAGACGAGCATGGGGTCACATGCCACCACTCAATTGTCCCATCGTAGTGAAAAAAAATAACGCCTCTTAAAGGCGTCACTGTTGTGATTAGACATGTGTTTCCGCAAGATTAAAGAAAGCAAAGCAAAGATGCGGAACATGTGCAAGAGCGCTCTTGGGGGGAGAAAAGGTCGTAGGTTTGAACCTTCGTCAACAAAATTTTCATTTTCAATTGAAATAAGCAGCTCTCCAGACGCAACATGGATTGTACGTAAATAAACAACCCACAACCCACCAATGAATCAAACACTCCTAACTTTCGATTAGGGATCTGTGGATTGTCATTCGCACCACTTACAGATGAGATATCAAATGGCTCAAGTGGTACGTATATCTGTCTTCGATGACTATTAAAATTAAAATGTTAAACTGGAAAGAGATTTAGATTATGAACTCTTGAAAGAGACAGGATAATGCTTAATCTAATTAAAACGATTAGGACAACTGGTGTAAGTTCAAAATAACAGTGACAAATAATGGAGTTTGTGCCAAACATGTGAACGATTACGTAATTTATGAGTCATTTATCAAGCGCTTATCGAGTGAGTGCTTACTGGCAAAAGTTATCACCTTCATTTACCTCCCTGAATAACATTCTCGGCTATTAAAATGGATTGTTGGTAAGCATCTCTTACTCATTAAGCACGTCTTCTGTCCCAGTTACTGGAATATAGTCTCTATCTTTACTATGTCTTTTACAAGTAAGATAAGTGACATCTGATAAACATTTACCCAATAAGTATAAACGGTCCCCTACTCTTGTTTTAATTTGTAAACAATAATTATAAATGTCTAAAATAAGCGGTTGTTTGTTTACCTCTTAATAGTTTCATTAAGAGACAGTTTCTGAATTGTTAAGAGGTGAATCTTGTTTGACAAAAAAATAGTCTGCCTTTTAATTGCTCTAAAACTGTTTGCCTCTTAATTGCTCTAAAATCCTCTAAATGGTTTTCTATTCTGACATCCCTTAACCATTAAGCGCCCTAATTTCATCATAAACAATTCCCAAACAATTATATTTCATTTACACTATATAATAGAAGTCGCTTAATCATTCTGACCACTTAATCATTCTGCACTAGACCATTCAGCAACTGCCAAACAAAAGTCACTGCATTTATAAATTTTATATAGTCAAGAAAATAAAGAAAGCCCAATAAGTTTGATACGCAACCGGTTAAACATGAAGACACGGGCTGAACCCAACTCATTAGATTTGGAGTAGCCCAGAAAACAAAACGAGAAGCGAAGGGCTTTTAAACCCTAAAAAGAGAATCCCCATTCTTCAGGGTTTATTTCCGTCTGTCGTCTGATTTATGCGAAACAATCACAACATTCCGACAAAATTTGGTAAGAGTTTGTAGTTCTACACAGATATGCCGAAATCCAAGAGAGATCGAGCAGGTAAAGGGATTACATTTTATGTATCATATTGAATAATAACTGGCTTGCTTTTGATTATAGCATCAATTTCGTTAGCATGTGGAGGAAGTGTGTTGAACGTTGTATAATTGATTTTAAGTATTTTATGAGAGTTGCATGTATTTGAATTTTAGGAATCGGAGTAGGAGGTGATTTTGATTCTTAGTTCTTGCTCTTAATTCTAATTCAAGCCTGAAAATTAAAATTGCAGCTCAGTGCCTTCTGGTAAATAGTTTTTTTCTGTTGAATGATCCAATAATTAGGACGTAAGCTTATATTTGGAGTCCATGCTTACAAAAATAGCACCAGGGTATATAATTGAAGTTCATTGATATCAATTATCTTCTGTTCCTGCGTTTTAAGTCTTAGTTGTCTTAAAACCAAGGTTGGTGTTTGTACTACTTACTTTTAGCGTTGGAATATTTAGGTTCAGTCATCAAGTAAATGGGAATAACAATCACATGTTTGTTCCTCCTCACACCTTATAAGTGAGACCCACCAAATGAAGATGCTAAAATTGTCAAAATGAGTAAGATCCAATTTGATTGTAAAGCTTTAAGTTTGGTTGCATAGACAAGAGAATGTTGGGCATTGGATTGCTGAAAAGTATGATATGAAGTTTCAAATTTATATCTTTTGGAGTCTTTATAAGTTTTGGGCTTGTTTATTTTGACCAACTATGTATGGGCCGCATTCAGTGACATTGTCCAAGACAAAGAAGAAAGGGAGGGAGCACAAAGAGAACATTGTGAACTCCATACGTGATGCTGTGGAACAGTATAATTCTATGTATGTTTTTAGCTTTGAGAACATGAGGAATCTCAAGTTCAAGCAGTTCAGGGAGCAGCTTAAATCCACCAGCAGGTACTGCTTAACCTTGTTTTCTTCTAGAATCTAGAGGATATCACATAGGAACCAGACATTCAAAGATTTTTAGGGAAAAACTTCATGACACAAATTTGGCTTTTCAGTATGAAGATTGAACACTTTTGCAAGTTATGCATGCACACACATTTGATATGCTCTAGCAACTTGGGATTTTCATTTAAAATGTAGTGCAAGCAGTGCTACTTAAATTAGATTAATATAATTCATGATCTATATAACGATTAGTGACAATGAAGGAGGTACAAGATCATATATAGCAATATAGAAAGTTTATGAGCCATTAATAGTTGATGCATATTGTTGACAATTATCCATCTGTGATTCAAGTGTTAACATGCCCACATTAATATTTTTTCTGTGCTAAATTAAATTAATTTATTTTGTGTCTATATCTATCTATCTTTGGGGCAATAAATCATAGGTGCTGCCTGCATTGATCTGCATGTGTAGTTGGTAACTGATTTCAACAAATCTGCATACATCATTTAGTAATTAACTTCCATGATTGACAACACCTATATATGATTGTTAATTTGTCATTTTATGTGTTTGGTTTTTCAGATTTTTTCTGGGGTCAAACAAAGTCATGCAGGTTGCTCTAGGGCGCTCTGCTTCTGATGAGATAAGAACAGGGCTTCATAAGGTGGCCAAGGTATGCAGTATGTTAGGTACCTTGCATTTGTTCTGCGAGAGACTGGAGTATGATGAGTTTATTCCATTGCACTTCATGTACCCTCGTTTGATTAGCTTCTTTATTCATTATCTGCATGCAGCTTCTTCGTGGGGATTCTGGGCTTTGTGTAACCAATATGTCTAAAGAAGAGATTCAAAGGTTACCACTGCAAAGCCTGTCTTTGAGTCGCTTATTACATGTAAAAAATTTGGAAACATTTTTCAATGGCCGGCTATAGCGTTATTGTCTGTATAAGCAGGCACTGACAGCTTCTTCACAAATATGAATTGTATCTGGCTTTTTGAGTGCTCTATTTTTCGTCTTCTTGTTACATACATAATAACTTATGGTTTTATCTTTGGCAGAATATTTGATGAGTATGAAGATTATGATTTTGCTAGGACTGGAAGTATTGCCACAGAAACGGTTAGTAGAAGTGTTTGATGTAATTCATTATGATTTACACATTTTTGTCTCAAGTACTGGGGGTCTGTTACACAAGCATTTTTTGAAGTCCTTGCCAAGAGTCTGGATCATGTGAATCACAGCGATCTAATATGTTTGATGATTTTGCATGTCATGTTTTTGCTCATTAATGTGCTATTCTCTACTTGTCAACATCTTGTCCTTTTAATAAATCTTGTCAATATCCTGTCCTTTTAATAAATTTTACATACTTTCAGGCCTGATTTTCAAGTATATTAATTCAACCTTATGCTTCATTGGTTCATCTATCTATATAGGTTGCAATTTTATACAGTTTTAAGTGTTTCCTACTGGTCAAGTATCTATAATACACGTCCATCGAATAACGGTGGAAATTATCAAAATTAACCCTTCATTTTCAAATTACACCAGTCATGTGGCTGAATTTAGTAAGTAACAACCATGGACACAAAAAGGCAAAATCTAAGCATAAATTATTTTCCCTCAAAAAGTCTCATCTAGTACAGGACATCACAATATAGAAATTATTGCTATTATTCATGGAATGGTGGGATCAGATTATGTGTTTCAAGTTCTTGTATGTTGCCTTTACTATTAATATGAACATGCTTGTTTCAGTTTTTTGATCCTGCATTTTTTATATTAACTTCCCAGATGGAACTTAAAGAAGGTCCTCTGGACCAGTTCACACATGAGATGGAGCCCTTCTTGCGAAAGCAAGGAATGCCAGTGCGTTTAAACAGAGGTCTACATTCTCTCTTACAAACTACATCACACATGCACAAACAACAAAACTAAGGAAGAAAAAGTGGCTCATGAACAACAAAAACTGATGAAGAAGAGAATCTCATATGCACACACATAAAGCTAAGTATTATTTGCCCTTCTTAATTTGGTTCTGTAAACATATTGAGCAGGAGTGGTGGAACTCGTTGGAGATTTTGTTGTATGTGAAGAGGGGAAACCCATATCACCCGAATCCTCTCGCATACTGGTTTGTTCTCGGTCTTTATTGCTGCATATATGAAATATAATCATAATTGATATCCTCAAGATATGTGATATATGTCATTGTATTATGGGTTAGGGATGAGACTAGAGGACCGTTTTCTCGAACCGAATCGGGAACCAACCGAAATCGTACCGAACCGAATGCATGTACTCGATTCGGTCTTCGGTTCCAAGAATACTTCAAAATCGGTATTCGGTACCGAGACTTTCCCGAAAATACCAGATCCGAACCGGGTAATCCAATAGTCATGTGGCTATTCCGTTCCATCTCTATCTCCTAAACTAATTCATATCTTCTCCTAAAATAATCCATACCTTCTCCATAACCATTACATCAAAAAATCGGTATAACCATAAACAAAGATCTCCCCTACGGTATCACCATCAAAAAATCGGCACCATTAAGAAATCGGTAGTATCACATTTGAACTTTTGATTGTTGAACTTTTGTGATTGGTTTTGATTGTTTCTGTACCCGCTTTAAATTTTCGGTCCTAAGTGGTCCCAGTCTCAAATTTCCCGTCCCGAAACCGAACCGGTACCGAGCTTGTACATACGGTTCGGTTTTCAGTCACAAAAAAATCGGTACCAGTACTGATCTCATCCCTATTATGGGTATGCTCTCTATGTGTTTTGTGCTCAAATATGATTTCATTCTACCCTACAGCTGATTGTTATACAGGACAAACTTTGTTCATTGCTAAACAATATACCAAATACTCCCCCGGTCCCAAAATAATTGTTCACTTTCAAAAGGAAGAGCCTACTTTCCAAGTGTATCCTTAATTATGAGACAAAGAAATTCATTACTCCCTCTATTATTAAGGGTAAAATGTTCTTCTAGCTAATTAGAAAGTGTAATAATTACAGATTTCTAAAACTGTGTGCCTTTTTCATTGTGGACATTTATTTTGCGATAGAGAGAGTAGAACGTAAGAGGCTTGAACAAACATTCTCGTCCTGATCTGGTCGTTATGTATGTCGAGTTATACATTTCTTTCTGTTGGTATCAACCATATATAACTCATTCATCTTTCCAGAGTTCATGCATCGTGAGTGTGCAGTGTTGATTAAGATTAACATCTATATTTCACGTATCCTTGGCCTTTCTCTGCTATGGTATTATTTCTTAGTAAAAGGCCAACATTGTTACTATCTATTATTAGTTTGACAATTACTTCTGAGTAAAAGACCAATTTTATTACTGTTTAGTTTCAAAACAAACATAAGATTAAGTTCCCAAGATGCTACGAATGATTTGCAATTGACTGATTTTCATTCCACTATATTGAAGGTCTGACCACAATTTTTTTTTGATTAACCTGGATATCCAACCCGCTATGCTAGCCGACTAATCTCAGGGCGACCACCTGCTTTGCAGATAGCCCGGAGTCACCGCATTTGAACCTCCGTGGCCACAAGGGGATTTTTATTCCTCCTTGGATTTGAACCTGGGACCTCCTGGTACTTTTGATCTTTGGAGCTAAGCTTAAACCAATCAGGCACCACCCTTGTGGTTAGGTCTGACCACAATTTCAATTATCAATCTTGGCTTTTCCAAAATTCAATGAACCACCACGAGCTGTGACTATGGATCAATCTGTATGCATTAAGTAGTTAAAAAGCATTCTGAAGTCCAACAATGTATTCTTTATTTCGTATCCACCAGCCAGCAAGAGCAGCTTTTTTGAGCTTATCTGCTGGCCGATTTGGTATCTTAAGATTAAGACTGAAGCTTGTAGGTTTCATCATATGGGGATTGAATAAAAGAGTAGACTAACAGATGGTGTAAATGCAGAGGCTAATGGGCATGAAGATGGCTACTTTTAAGCTGCATTTGATATGCAGATGGAGCCCTGAAGATTTTGAAGTCTATCAAGAAGGTCTGGAAGGTTCAGATATCGAATCCTCTTAATATCAAATACGAACTTATATCATTAGCAGCTTTGTCGTTGGACAGGGCTTTTGCACTTCATTTCTGGTTAATGTTTGTAGCCAGGATAGATTGCAATAGACCTATTTGTTTCCGAAGTTTTGTAGTGGCAATGGTTTGTGTAAAAACTGATGAGAAATATAGCGAGATTTGTTACCGAAATGTATAGCTTAAAAGTAGTCATCTCTTTACAATTTTGGCACTTCATGAAGGTCTGTCCCCCAAAGGGTCATTGGCCTAGCTGACAACTGTAATTGAATTGATCTGTTTTCATCTTGGAATCCCACCTGAGTGAGAGCAGACACGGATGCACTACTCTTCCATCCTCTTCTTCTTGTGGATGCTCTTGTAGCCCCTCTTTTCACCATGAATCCACTTAGCACTTTCTTGCCAGGAGCTTCACCTTSGAAGAGAGATTTGGGAGGCAAGATGGATTATTGAGAAAGGGGCGAGATGGAGAATAGGGAATGGATGTGAAGTAAAGGTCAAAAAGTGTTGCTAATTGAGAGATCAAAAGGCGGAACCTTCATCTTGAACGATAATTCTATTTCTATTTGAGAGGGTCCTAAGGAAAAGGATTCACTAGCTTAATGTCAGCCCTGAGCCAGGAATCACAAGGGGAGAGGATGGAAAAGTTCGACCGATACAAAGAGAAGGCATTAGCGAGGCGATGGGAGGAGTGGCGTCATACCGGCTTTGATAAGCGAAGGCAGAGATCATTGAGCCTATTTAAACTAAGGTTTGGACTTAAAAAAAATCATATGTGTATACTTGGGGTCATTTGAGACCAAAGGTTTTTCATGAGACCCGTAAGACCAATTTTCAACCTTTGGATTAGATCTATAATCTGACAATCTGAACATTCATAAATGCCACGAGACTTCTCAATAATCACAAAATTGCCACCGTGCAATTTTAGACCATTAGATCATTAGCTTATAAAGTTGATCAATGAACATAAATTGGTCCTACGGGTCTTACGAAAAATCATTGGTCTCACGTGAACCCAACCCTATATATATATCGGCTTAATCAAATGAGAACTAATTAGTTTGTGGTAACCGTGAGGTCCAATCTCAACCACAAATCAATAGTTAAATTAGGAAATTTATAATTTTGGTAATTTTGAATTAAAATTTTAATGCAAGAACATTTTATGTATTTTTCCTCCTCTCTCCTTTCTTTATCCATTTTCGCATTCTTCGGCAACCTGAACCTTCTGAAAAACTTCCCAGAGCTCCTCTCGACCCTGTGCCACTTATCATTCTCCTCCTCCTGTTCACTGCTCCTCTCTCCGCTTATCTGCAACACCCTCCCTTCCTCAACCTCCACCTTAACATTTTAGGTATTTCATGAAATTGTTTAATCTTGTAAAATTGTTTCATATAATACTTTTTTTGATAAAATTGTTTCATATATGGTTATGAAATTGTTTCATATAATACTTAATGAAACTGTTTCATATAATACTTAATGAAACTGTTTCATATAATACTTAATGAAACTGTTTCATGTATTTTTCAAAAATTAATATAATGAAGATGATAATATTCATGATTAACACCCTCCACAATATAAATGATTAATTAACCTGTCATAATTACAAAAAAATTAATAAAATGAAAAATTATGATTGATTAAATAAGGTTTGTACGGTTTGTACCAATCACGTGGTTTGCAAAGAAAACCTCTTCTCTATCTCTCTATATATATATATAATAAGCTAAGGGGGTTGGGAATCCGCACTATCGGTAAATAGTAAATCACTAGGAATTGGATTGATTTTTCATTTTTCTAAAGAAAAACATATTAAGAAAATAATCCAGATATCTCCGATAAACTAACAATGCCTAGAAATGATGGTAACACTTGGGGCCTAATATCCAGCTCCACCCAGCCTACAAAGCAGACGGACATCACGCACCGAATAACGGCACCTTCACTTTATTTTGGGCAGCGCTTTCACGGAAATCAAGGCCAATCCGTTGTTTTAAAATTAAGCGCCTACATCTTAACTATAAAAAGAGAACTACACTGTTTTATGACCCCAACAACCCAAACTAAATGAACACAATATATCCCCTCAAATGTAGGGTCTATGGGTGAAATATATGCAAACATGACTTCTACAATCAAAGAGTAGAGCAGTTGTTTCCTTGAAGACCTCGACTTGTGAGAAGTGTGCAAAACAAATAGGAAGTTTTATGACCCCAACAAACCAAAATAAATGAGACCATTAAATCCCACTCGAAGGTGGGGTATGGGGGTGAGATGTACGTAAACCAGACTTCTACAATCAAAGAGCATTGCAGTTGTTTCTATGAAGACCCCCGGCTTGTGAGAAGTGCATGAAACAAATAGAAAGTTTTGTGACCCCACCAAACATCTATTGAAGCTTTTCCTTCTCCAAAAGCTTCAACTCTATACGCCAATCTTCCAATTTCGCAACCTTCTCCAGTTGTTCTGGGTTCAAATCCTGCCCTGTTTTTTGCTGTAGAGCTTCCGTCAGTCGGATCTGCAACCAAACATTATACAGCAAATCAGTGTAACCAATCATTCCTTTGTTTCGCTAAGGCTTATAAGCAATCATTGTTTGTAGAAATGGATCAGATACGAAACTGACAATTTGTAAATGAGTGGTGCACAAAGTTCAAACCCCTTGGCTTTTATGTTCCTAAGAAAGCCATTAGAATTACCGACGGAATGAACCAAAAACAATGATGTAACCTATTAGCACATAGAATCTGTTTTCGGAGGTTAGATCAATTACCAGCAATGGCAGATACTTCCTAGAGGACGGCTTTAGATGGATTGTATCGCTCATTTATTCCCATGTAAATCTTAAGAAAGAATTTAACCCTAGCAGACGGTATTATTTTATTTTGGAAGGCCTTGCCTTTCATTTCCACCATGTGAAGAGAAAGGGATTAAGTGAACCATAAATACTTAAGAACACATAAAATTGGGAAGGCTGCAGATTCAATTATGCTCGGCTTGTTAATTTACGGGGAGAGCATATCAATAGACTTAAAAACACTCTAGTCTCCACAAGCTCCAAGTTTCTAATCATTTGATTTAGGGGAGGCATTAGGAAGGAAGTGCAAGATAGCAACACGGAGAAAAGAGAGCCAACAAAATTGTTGTAATCATTAGGAATGTTATAAGAAACTTCTGTTTCTTGTTCTTCCTTTTTACAAATTGGCTCAAGTCACACGGTTACTTCCTTTCTTAAGGCTAGAACCCTCGATGCAGCTCCCACTTTTGTGTGGTTGATACTGTTGAGCCCAAGGCTTTATATCACCTAAACAACTGCATTACATTTTATGCCAAAGGCTTCTTTTGTTTGTTATTGCTTTCTCTTAACCAGCTTTTCAAATCTTTATCATATATGTCTTTCACTCTTTGTTACATTTTTCACAAGCCAGGGAACTTTATAGAAACAACCACTCTACACTTCGGGGTAGAGGTCAAGTCTACTTACATTTTACCCTCCCCGAACCCACCTCGGGAGTAATATACCGGGTTCGTTTGGTTTGGTTTGGTTTTGTTGACATGCAGCTAAAACTCAAGAACAAGTTAATGAGACAAGATGGTGCAGTGCATATGCAATTGTTAAAGATGTAACACATAGTCTCTTTCAAGTGATTAATCATGTAGCAAGCTACAATCTTTACAAATAAATTACCTTCTTTTTCAGTGCACGAATTCTTTTATCAATATCAGGTGAACACTCTGTAGAATTTGAGGGAGGGGCAACAACAGATCTGTTTCCAGATATAGTGATCTCATCTATCTGGGACACTATTGACTCAACAGGTCCTAATGCTGCTTCTTCTACATCTCCAGTAGATGAAACTTCATTTATACCGTTATCGAACGCAGCCTGCTTCAAGAATAGGTACAGAAGGATTAAAATAAGAATGCAGCATGTTAAAATAAAGGAAAAACCAACAAATGAAACCAAAGTAAATACAGTCCCACTTTTTTCTAATGCAGTGATAAACACCCACAAGTCATCCAGATACAGGAAACGTGTGATAAAACAGGGATATGATTATGATATTCTCGCCAAAGAAAGCAATATAAGTTACAAAATTAGAGATCTTTAGCAAGGACCTGGTTGAGAAAGACAAGCAAGACGAACTCTCTATCTCTCTCTCTCTCTCTCTCACACACAAAAGAAACTATGAGAACTAGTTATGGTAGGTGAAAAATCACACATAAAATTTATAACAAGATGGAGATGCCAAACCTAAACTGGCTTGTTTTTGTCCAGTGTACTAACGACCACATCTGCTGTTGGGTCTTCTCTTTCTGTTCTTATTTTGAAGGATATAATTTTCTATATTTGGCAAATACTCGCGTACACTCCTCACCTTTGAAGGTTTGAACCATTAACCTCCTCAGAGGTTGGGCTCTTCTGGTAACCCTGGTAGCACTGGGCCGTTAATTTTTTGTCTTAGTTTCATGGCAAATATTCTGTGCATACCAGGTGGTATAGGTCACTGCTAATCAGTGAACCCAAAGACGTACATTGAAGATGACTAACCACAATAAGCACCCTCCACTCATGTTCTTCTCAAATCAATGCATCCCCAACCTGCTACTCATTCCAACATGGCCACATCCACGATGTCATTCTAGTCATAAGAAGACTTCAACTACTAACAAATCTTGAATCCCCTTCTTGCATATCATACCCTACAAGTATTATAACATGAGCATAAATTTCCTTGAGGAAGCTTCAGAATAAAGTGTCATACAGCCTATCTGGTGGGTTGCAAGATTATTTATTTTGCCTTTAAGAGCCTCATTATTACTCGTCTATTGGTCATCTTACTGATTAAGCTTGGGGACTATACATATAAATTCAAATTCGACTTCGAGCTACTGATGGTTGGGAAGTGTTACACCTAAGGAAAGGCTTAAAACCCCCATCACTGATTTGTGTGAAAGTTACCTGCAAGCGCTTCTCCTTCTTTCTCTCATTCCTCTTAGCTGATTTGGTCTTAGATTTGTTAACAACATCCTCTTGAGGATCATAACCAGGGGGTAGAATCTCCAGCGACTCAATTTCCTTCTTCAACTGACAATAATAACAATAATATCATAAATACTAGTACCAGAAGCATCCCTACCACTCAAATCACTTGCAATGATGCAAGCATATCGTTCAGAAATGTACCTGGGAGCCTTTTGATTTGTAAACAGCGACTTCATCTTGAGGAACGTAACCAGCCCTAATTCGAATGGGTTTGCGTAGGGTACCATCGGGTCTTCGGGTCGGAGCCAAAATCCTTTCGCCTTCTTTTAGGGTTTTGCTAATCTCCGCTGCTTGCACTTTGACTTGTTCTTCTCCGCCTCGTCTGTGAACTGCAGCGTTGGTCGCCATAGTTAAACCTCCACTGCTACATGATCAAAAACATAAATATATACAGAACCACTGTCATTAACCATGAACAACACACTTGGAGTTGGAAAACCATCATTTGAATTTTTATATTTTTTTTCTGAAAAATTAATTATTAAAACAAATGTAGAATTACATATTTTGGGGTGTTTGGAATTGCTTATAAAAACAACTTATTGACTTATTCCGGTGTGACATCGATAATAAGCATTTTTGAGTGTTTGGATAAACAAGTGTCAAACCGGTAATAAGAAGTTTTTGAATAAGTTAGACCATTTTGACTTATAATAAATTGATAAGTGCTTTTATAGAAAAACATAAGTTATTTCCAATAAGCACTTTTGAGTATTGTTTGTTTTTTAAAACCTGTACAATTTAAAGTCTTGTTTCATTTTTTTATTGAATCATTTGGTGTTGAAAATGAATACAGAATGAATAACACCGTTTGTTTTTTGTAAAATGATAAACGTATAAATTCGAGCTTTTTCTAGCACTTTTTGGTACCGATTCTAAACTGTTTCTGTTAATAAACCCACCACTTTATGCTTCTAAATTCAATCCGATAAAAAAATTTATCCTGCACAAGAGTTTGTTTCAGACAATTTATTGAAAACAAAAGAAAAATGTTTGAGATTTATATATTATTAGCTTTTAGATGCAAACATTGAGCCATGACAAGTGACAACCCCACCTTTTTCATCAACAAAAACAATTGAATTGTATTGGTGAAAGAGTAAATTGCATGAAAAAACAACGTGCTTTTAACTTGATTCTTATTTTGGGTAACATATTTTTAAAGCTTCAATTTTGATACTTAAGATGTAAAGTTTTAAATATTTAAGTTCTGGATAACCGATTGAAGACTAATTTTAGATTAAAAAGATTCATGTCACTAACTATGTCAGCAAATAATACTGAACTGAATACCACATCACTCGCCATATCAGCATGAATAAGTAATAAAAGGCTATTGGGAGGATTTTTTTCTAAAAACAAAAAAAGGCATAATTGATCATCTATGATTCATTTAAAAAAAAAAGGGGCTTTTTGGCTATTGCTAAATAATTTAGTGCTGAATGATTAAGTTGTCAGAATGATTAAGATACTTTCATGATATAATGCAAAATGAAATATAATTATTTGGTAATTGTGTACAATGAAATTAGGGCTTTTAATGGTTAAGGGAAATCCATGATACAAAATCATTCAGAAGGTTTTAGAACCATTAAGAGGCAGACTTTTTTTTTGCGAAACAAGATTCACCTTTTAACGGTTCAGAGATTGCCTCTTAATGGAACCATTAAGAGGTAAACAAACAACCCCACACTGTCGAACACCTTCTTAAAAAGATCACTTAAATTGCATTGAGAAAAATCTAAACGACCAAACAATACCACATGCCGAGATGAAAAACTTGGACAAATTATCGAACAAATCGAGATTTGCCCAAAGGCCACGGAAAGAAAAAGGGGCCGGTCAAAGAACCTGTTATACAGTATTTTGGTCGGGAACCAAAACCGGCAACAAGACCGGTGGTCACATTTCATTTCATAACCAGGGTCGGTTATAACCGTGACTGGAACCAGTCAAGGCCATATGTCAAGTTATACCACCACAAAGGAACTCAGAAATATGACAGCTCTAATAACCTGTATCTTTTATAACACAACATAAACCATTCATCAGACAGAATTAAAAGAAAAGGGCATGGCTACTTGTTCATATAGTTATGTCTTTTCACATTAAGCACCTCTGGATTCCTCTGCAGGCATATCATCTTCATCATGGTAGATGTTTTCAGCCATCTGCCATATTTGAAGTATGTTATCTTCTGCAACGCTCGCAACCACCCAGTCTTCACATGGATTCCATGAGAAATCCGACACTTTACTTGTATGACCACCGTGTATAAACAGCAACTCCGGTGGCCCATCCTCAGCATCCTCCGCCGTCTGTTCCTGGTCAATCCTGTCATTTACTTAAATTCGTGAGATTTTTCACAACACCGTAAGTTACCCAAAATAGGAATCAGAAAAAGTATGTTACATTTGTCATTTGCAAAAAAAGAAACCAAATGTTAATCGATACCTGCTAAGATCCCACACCATGAGTCTTCTACCAAGACAACAAGAAGCTAAGATTGTCTCGTTCTGTGGATTCCATCCAACCTGGAACACCTCCTCCCTGCGATAACATGAAACAACAATTCGATTGGAACTGGAAAGAAAAACACAAAGGCGAGGACGATTGATGGATGTGTAACAGCTCTTACTTGTGACAGTCGAAGGTATGGAGGGCAGTGTTGATTTTTCGTAAATCAAACAATTTCACAGTCTTGTCTGTTGACCCCGTTGCCAAAACCCACTCGTTAAAAGGATTGAATGCCAAGCAGTTAACCTACCTCAAAAACATGAATAAATCATAAATTCGCATAACTGTATGCCTGCCAAACCAGTAAAACCATCTTTAAGTCTCCTAACTGTATGCCTGCCAAACTAGTAAAACCATCTTTAAGTCTCCTAGAAAAAAAAAGTTACTTCCTGGGAGACATAATCCCAAGCAACTATATTCTCCCGCCTTCCTAAATTCTATTTTAGTTTATCCCAAATGGCCAAAATAACTGTCCACTTCCAGAAGTGCCTACTTTCCAATTCTATGCTTAATTAGTGAGAATTTCCTAACTCTCACTATAAATAAGGGTAAAATTGTCATTTAGTTAATTAAGAAGTGTGATAATTACATTCTAAAACTGTGTGCCTTTTTTATTGTGGACATTTATTTTGGGACGGAGGGTGTATAAGCCACAGGTCGAAGAGCATTAGGACATAAGTTAGCTGAACCCCACATAAGAGATCATCATTATGATTTATTAGTTTTTTACATAGGACCGATTGATATTTGATATAGATAAGCAGAACAATGAAATATTGCACTTACCTCACTTTGATGAGCCATTACACTTTGGATAGGCTTGGTAACTGATGGAGACCGGAGATCCCATATGTGCAAGTATTGATCATCACCACAAGAACCAAATAAGTATTCATGCCTCAAATGCCATGCTACATCTTCTACAACACCATCATGAACCTATCAAACATGAAAAAGCTTACATTCTTGTATGCGTGCATGTATGTGTCGCAAGAAAAGAGATCAAATAATAATCTACATATTGTTCATCTTCTATTAGCCTAACTCACTGTTGCTCTTTCTATATCTCTGTACAAAAAAGGCTTTCATCATATTTACATAGTTGCATGTCTTCTTATGAAAGTCCACATCACGGTGAAAGGGTAACAAAAGACAGGTTAATATGTGATGATCTAATTTTGATGAATGTGAAACAGAGATACATAAACTTTTAGGTGTAAATGTGAAAACAAAACCTAATTCTTGACTTCATACCAAGTAGAACCATTTTTTCTGAAACTAAAGTCAATATTTGTAGAATGGTAGCCATGGGTTGGATTCCAGTGAGAATGAAAGTTATGGTGAGAAGGGTAAGAATGCATCTCCACCCTTGGATCAATCCTAATTGAAGAGAAACACTAGATCAACACTGATGAGATACACTGGATTAATTCCCTTCTAAAGCACAATCCATGGGTTGGTTCGAGGTTGGAAGTGATCAAGGGTCCAAATCCCTTCTTATACTTCTCACCTTAACTCCTATTCTCACACGATCTTTTGTCCGGTAGCCATTCTATATTTTCCAGAGTAAGGGTTAAACATAGGTTTTGATCAAACATGTAGATTCCAGGTTGACCTCTTCTACTGAGCCTCGGGGTACCCATTTTCCCTTATACTTGAGGAATCTAGGTTAACCTGTTCAAGTGAAAGTACGACACTCTACCTTCCACCTGCTATGAACTTGAATTAAACTTTAAAGACAGTTGGCCTTTCTTAACTTGCTTATGCAACTATGTACTCAAGACGCTTTCCTTTTACAGGTTGAAGCCAGCTTCAGTAGGATTGCAACATTTTTAGCAGTTTTATATCTTCGTCATCATTTTATAAGGAATTATTCATAAAATAATTCATGAAGACAAGTGAAGCCTTTAACTGAACCTACTTGTTTAAGAATAAGCATCCTAATATAATGTCATTCCTTGAATCATATAACTAGAATTAACAATTTTGAAACTGTAACTAATTAACTTTTAGGAATTTCATCATGAAAGTGTTGGTTTTCATCTACCAGTAAGTTGCAAAACCTGTCATCCCAAGTCACACGTTATAGCTAGTCAATTCTTAGCCAAGTTAGAAATACTGAAGAGGTTATTGTCCAAACCTCACCAAGCATCTTATGGAAGTGATAAATAATTTATTGGGCTGATTCAACACAACCAAACTATGTGACTGATTTTTAAATCCATCTAATTTCACTTTAAGTCAGCAAACTGCCACTGCCACTATATAGAATTGTATATATGCTGCAGCAAAGGGGCATGTTAGCTATGATGAAGTTATATAAATCTCTCCAGTCAATAAACGTACCTTAAATATTTGCATAGCATCCAGGGTTTTGTTTTTGGGGGTTCCATTAATGTCCCACAAGCAAATTTGGGCATCATCAGAACCGCTCAACAAATGACCCTGCTTGAACTTGCTCCATGATAGGCCATATCCCTCGGTGTTGTGGCCCCGTAATCTCATATCAGGACTGCACGCTCCATCTAGAGGAGGCTTAGATGGGTGTTTGCTATAATCAAAGACATAGACTTCTGCACTGACCGTCTTTGTGGCAATAATGAAAGGGTTTTGGGGCATATAACGAGCCCTGTTCACCTCTCCATCATGATTTATTTGCTGGATTATTTGTACCTATAAGAGAAAATCATATACAGCAAAGATATCAAAGAAAGATGAGCCAATTTTACTCACACGCATAGGAAACATATACAAGAAAAGTAAAGGCAAAAGTACAATCTGCTGAGATAGACCATCAATTAGATCAGAAGGTTGGGGTTCACGGATAACAAACCCTGTGAGACTTAGAATATAAATTTAAGATGTTAAAAGTATAAAAGATAAGGGGGAATTGTTGTATGCACCAGGATGTCAAAAGTATGACATACTGTTGAATTGATTCAGGGACGTTGCATTTATTAATTAAGTTCACCCTCAAGATATGACATATCCAAGTTGTAAATTAACTGTTACAAGTTATATAAAATATAACCAAACACTTAAACTTATTTTCCCTTATCCAAGAGAGTAGCCACACACAGGTGCTTGCTCAAACCATACAGCGAAAGGTGCTTCGCTTCATTTAAAATCAAAATTCAAAAAAAAAGAAAGAAATTACTGCTCAACTTGAAGATCATGATACGACCAAAAATAAATAACCAATTATAAACACTTATTTACTGCAGAGTACAGATGCAGCCATGTCTGACTCAACATTAATTGCTATAAGTCTATAACTGTTAACATATAAATACTTCTAAGCAAAAAGATAAACAGAAATAATATCAAACCTGAAAACTCTAAAGTGAGCAAAAACGATATATATCCTTATACCGTGGTTAGAGAAAAACATCATCCAACCAGAGCAGCTATAGCGGTTCAGAAATAGCCCCCAACATATCCATCTTATGTAGCCACAGAAGATGTCAAAGTTCTAATGGCTCATTTGATATCTTCTCCAATCCCCAAGATTTCAGAACTACTCTATATAGAAACTGAGCAGATAAATTAAGTAAAGAGAGTGTTGGACTGAACTGAACAGCACACAACAGCAGAAGTGAACTTGCATTCTTTACACCTTTCGACTTCAAAGAACATTCTCTGGACCTCACAAAACTGCAGAAAGTCCCTAAACTACTAAACTGTCTGGATATTGCAATATAGACTCTAAAGTGGCAAAAGAGACCCTGACTTCAAGAATTTTGCAGACAGACCCTTAACTTCCTGAATTTTCTAAAATGACACCTAGATTGAGAAAACACTGCAGAAAAATAAAAATATAATGAGATGGTCCGCATATCTCACGTTAAATAAAATCTCAAGATAGTTTGACTAGAACAACGTATTTCCGTCTGACTAATATATTCATGAATAGATAAAAAAATTATAAAAAAATACTTCCAAGTCAATGTGGCAAAAGGTACTGGCACTTTGCATCTCATGGTCACACAAACACATCTACAGACAAATGAACAAGCAAACAACTATTTTGCTGATTGTCTGGAGACTTAAACAAGCAATCACTCAACAAACGTGAACTGACGAGTGAAGAGTAGGGACAGAAGTTTCTAGCAAGAATTAGAATATCAAATAAGGAAAGTTTTTTTCCCTATTAACCCTAGTTCCACAAGGAAAAAAAATACCCAAATGGCAATTACCTTACACAACATATGAATCTTTGCTCAACTGTCAAGAAACACTAACCTTTGCTTCTCGTGCAACATTAACCAATTTTCAATTGTAAGATCACACCAAAATGCAGTCACACAGACACAATGACAGACACAAAAAACCTGTCTCCCAAGATATCGCCCTAATACAGTTCAAATCACCATCAACCCTTTATGTGTATATAAAACACTATAAGGCTTCAGAAAGTTCGGTTAACAATTAAAAGACACCAGTCTTTATCTCAATCAAGATACCATATACGAAAAACACCAAAACTTATCGAGCACATACATAAACTTACTGAACCCTGCCTAATTTCACAAAAAATACAGAGAATTATAGCTCAAAATAAATATAAAGCAGTTTTTAAAGCTACACCCCTACAGAACTGTAAAAGGACAACAACAAACAACGCGGTTGTCGATTTCAGACAAAAATAACGCAAAGTAAGCACAAGTTCACAAGCACTAACCTTGCCATTGGCGCAACCAAACCCTCCAAAATCGGAGCGATCGTCGTCGTAATGACGAGCATCGTACTCAGCATCTTCAAGGGGCAACTGAACCTGAGCGAGCATAAGATAATTAGGCTCATTCTCTGATGTGTGGGTTCCAAGAATCAGCTTCTGGACGGAGTAGTCCTTTCCGGCGGGCTCATCACGGTCCGGAAGCCATTCTACGGTGAGCGAAGGCCACTCGAGCGCATGTGTGATGACCAAATCGTAAAGAAACGGTGTGTTCTTTTTCCAAATTTTGTACTCTTCGTTGATGAGCCTCTCCTCTATCTCCCCTCTCATATCGTCTTCATCTTTCCCCATAATTTTCTTGAAATTGCAGTAGATTTTGATGTGCAATGAGTGTGAATCGCAATTGAAAGATTTGATTTTGGGGGTTCTTTGAAGGTCCGAGAATCGGAGGGAAGAAAAGAGAGAGAGAGAGGATTGTTCCTTTTGGTAAACGAGTGAAGGGTTTTACCGTATACTTGTGTTGGGCCGATTTTTATTCGATGGGCTTCTAAACATTTTTATTCGACGGGCTTCTATTTGGCATTTGCATAATGGTTTGATTTAAAATAATTAAGTGATTAAAATGTTTAAAAATCTTTATATGATATAATGTAGAATGAAATGTTGTTGTTTGGTAACTGTTCTGAATGGGCGGTCTAAACTGAATGACACCAAATTATCATTTTGACTTTCTGTATGATTTAGTTCTGAAAAAAAAATATAATTGTTTGATAAATATCTGAATAAAACAATTACTTTACAAATATAGATATTAGCAGTGCATAAACAATACACAAAACCTTTCTAGTTCAAGATGGTCCAATATCGTTGACACTTGTAACCCCTCTTTTAGGTGATTGTCTAGAACTCAAATGGCATATCCTACACACCATCTCTCTACCACCATTATCATCCAATTTCACATCAATGGACTCATTTGTGTTGTTTGCTTGAGTTTGATCTCACCATGATCACACTTTTCTGTAAAACAACTTCATCAACAACCATAGTTGAACTACTAGAGCTCTTACTACCTTTTTGATCAAGATTGCCTAACACAACAAGTGATTGCTTCAATCAAAACAAGTGATATATCTCACATTCTAAACATCACCAGATCATTAATAGTGCGACAAATAAGGAAGAGCCATATGAATCTCTCAAGACAATGCCGAAGCTGGTCACTTTTCATGGATTATGGTTTTTGGTGCGAGCAGGAACATAATTGATGAAAGTTGCCCAACATAACTCATGTTGTAGAGAGCTAGTAAGAACATTTTGACATTTAATAGAAAAGCACTAAAAATAGGTTATAACTGTAACACTCCATGTATCAAGTGAGGATAGCAGTCTCAAAGGATGTCAGTGTCTATGAAGCAACAAAAAGTAACAAATAGAATGTTTTCTCTCCTAATTTACTCACTCACTCAAACTTACATGCATATCTCACTGTTACTTTGCCACTCTTCCTTTTGTTCCATGATCCTTTTTCTATATCGAACTATTGTCTCTAACAGCAATGACTTCATGTTGCCAAACATGTAGTTTAACCAAGGTCTTTGACATTCAAAGGAATTAACACTTTCATTAAAACATCCAACTTTTGTATTGATAGAGTGTTCTTAATTTAAAACTTATGTGTAGAATCCCAGAGCATTTGACTTGTCCACATTGGAGAAACAATCGTTTCCCTTGAGCTTATAGAAAGTATGGTTTTGATTACTTGGTGAAATTAGGGCAGCTGATTATAGAAATCATGGAGGGAGGAGCAAGTATGTGGGAAAATATGATATACTTTGTGAAATTGAGAGATTTCACATAAACAAATGAACGGTCGGTCGCTTCTCAGATTTCAAACAAGATGGGATATTTTATGTTATTAAAATGAATTGTTAGTAAATGTCTTTTATATGATAAATGTTAACAGGGTAAGAGTCTTCTCTTTCATTTTCTGACGGGTGGCAGACTCAGAAGTTTCTCTAAGCAGGTGTACCTTTAAAGTGGATCAAAGATCCATAAAATCACAGTTTGACTTGAGGATAAGTCAATACGGTTTGACCAAGAAAAAGTTAATTATTCGATTTGGGGAATAAAATACATTTTTTCAAATGGAATCAATTTTGATATTTAAGATAAATAAATCGTTGTCTTGAAAATGAGATAAAATGCGGCGCTTTTAAGATGAATTGCATTGAGAAGGATAATAAATCATGAAAACTGGAATAAAAATCCCCTTGTGGCCACGAAGGTTCAAATGCGGTGACTCCGGGCTATCTGCAAAGCAGGTGGTCGCCCTTAGATTAGTCGACTCGCATAGCGGGTTGGATATCCAGATTAATAAAAAAAATCATGAAAAATAATAATAAAATCAAATTGGGAGAAAAATTAACAAAAAGTTGTCTTAGCATAAAGGTAGTAATGTCTTTAATTGAACCTGAGGTTGTGAGTTTGATCCTTCTAACTATACTTTTGTTGTTTATGTTTTCAGAATAGCACTGTAAGGCCTGAGTTAATACCCTGGACCGGCCCTGGAGCCTAAACTTTAAATACAAAAAATTGAACTTTTACTTGAAATAAGATTCAAACATATGACCTATTGTATATGAAGTGCTAATCCAACCATCTCATCCATGTTTAATTTATGTTACAAATTTGGTTTCAAAGTATTTAAGAGGATCCCTCAAAATCAAGCGGGTGCATCTTTCAGATGCCTAAGTTTTATTCTTTTGTAATAATCAAGTGAGCGAGTGTAACACCCACGATTTTCGGAATTGCTTTTGTGATTAATCACATTATCGAGTGGTATCAAAGATAATAGTTGCGAGGGTTTTATATAATTATTATATTAAGATGGTTGGAGAACTTTCGGGCATGAAAAACGAAGAAATCGTGCTATGAGAGACCAACATGACTTTCAATGCGGACATTCTGGGCGGGTGACTTCTAGTGCGACTTTCTGAGAAATCCGGAGGACTTTCCATGCTATTTTTGCCGTGTGAAAACCCACTTTAAAGCATGTCAGCGCGAAAAATGTCTGATTTTTGGGGGTTTTCCCATTTCTTCACCCCCACCTCTCCTCTTCTATCATTTTCTCTCTAAATTGAGTTATTGGGAAGCTTGAGATCCGATTTTAAAGGCCAATAAAATCATTTCTTGATGATTTGAAGTTGTTAGAAGGTTGAAGGTAAGATCTAAACTACCATATTTTGATCTAATGTTTGGTCCCTTTTCACCCTCAATCCTCATTTCTTCTTTGATGGTATATTTGTTGAGATTTGGGAGTAGGTGAGGTGTTCTTTAAAGCTTCCTAGATCTAGAAGTTTAGCCTTGGGATCTATTTTTACCAATGGAAACTAGAGGGTGGGTTTGGAATCTAGGTTTAACCTAACCAAGTAAGGTGAATTCATGTTGCTTTGTGAAAACTATGTACATGCCAAAAATGTTCATTTTGATGTATTGAAGTGTCTTTATTGATATCTATAAAATGTGTTAAATACTTGATGAGATTTGCATCTTTGGGCATATTTGATTTTATAAATATTGTAAAATACATATCTTTGGGTTTTTGACATTTTGATAAATAAGTCATAAAAGTAAATGTCATTTTGTTGCTTTATTGTATAAATTAATATTATTTGATGAAAATACACTCCTAGTATATTTGGTTTTATAAACCACTTGAAAAATGCATATTTTTTATGTTATGAGGCATTTTGGAAATATAAATAGTATTATCTCATATGGAAAAGGCAAATGATGGATTTTTTAGTTAATCATACTTTTGGAGCATAAATTTGCATAAACGTGGATTAAATGCGTTTAATTGCTTATATTGACTTTTATTTGAGTAGTCAAATAAATGTGGAGTCATTGGGTTGATTTTGGCTCATTTGAGTTTTGGGGACCTTTGTCCAGTCTAATTTTTTCTTTGTTAAGCTTTAGACATGATATGCCTTTACTGCATTTTTATTTGAGAATTATATGTATTGAATGCATTAGTCATTCATTTGGAATCATGTAATTTACACTGTAATGCATTGGATCCATAGACATATGAGTCAGTCGTTTTTAATAGGTGATGAGTCTTGATGTCCTCACTCTGTGGCCAATGCTCGAGTAGGCATTATGATCGTCTCGGTATTGCGGAGGTGAAATTTTGTTACGCGGACTCTAGGACCGTTAGACTTGTAGTTTTGGTGCTTTAACCCTTATGCATGAGGGTTAAATGCATTGGTTGTCAATTAGAAAGTTTGAGGTTCCTATCTTGAATGTTAGAGAGTAGACACTAGATGTCGAATGGAAACCTTGATGTTGGAACTCAACTAGAGAACGATTGGGCACTAAGATTTGGTATCATTGAGGTGACATTTGGTTGGGAGTGTGCACTACAGGTACCGTGACCTTTAGGTGACACTCGTTAAGGGGTATGCTCTAAAGTTATTGAGGACTTGAGGTGACACTTGATAGAGTGTACACTAAAGTCAATAGATCTGAGATGCAGTTCGATAATATTGATACGTGGCCTACTTTTGTATTCTGCGACATTCAATGGATATGGGTCTCTCCTGTCACTGAAAGTCTGAAATAGTGTTATTTTGGATAGTGTATTATCCATTTTTTTTGGTATTGTTGTGAGTATGGAGTATTTTCCATGCTTTATGGTTTTGGTGTATTAGAACTCATCCATGTTTGATATTTTAGATAATAGAGTTTTATCCATGTTTTTAGTATTTGAGTATTAAACCTTATACACATTTTATGTGAGTAACGGGTTTTGGTTTCATGGTGAATGGCTACTTTGATTAGTGATTTTTCATCAAGAAAATGGTGGGTTTTGCGAAAGATGTTGATTATATATCTAATACATTTTATTTTGGAAGTTGTGATTTAAATAACATCTTTTCAGTTTCACCGTTTTATATCAAAGATGAAAACTGTTTGAACTTACTGTGTTAGCCTAAATCTTTTTATTTGTCTGCATGTGCATCAGGTCCTCGTTCTAAATAGTACTAGAGACAATGTGATGAGATGAGTGCTAGTTAGAGGCACAAAAAGGATTTAGGCATTCGGGTACATCTTTTGTAAGTTGGAGATAACAATCGTTGTTGGGTTTTAGAAACACCCGTCCTAATATCGACCTTGTGTAAGCTTTGATTTATAATCCGTTGATGCTGAACTTTAAATTGCCATTTTAGGTAATTTGATTATTGTTTATTAGAAAGAAATTTATCTTTCAACTGATGTATTTTAAAAAATTTAAATTAGTTGTTTTTTCCAGATTTGATGTGTTACAAGTTGGTATCAGAGTATAAGTTTGAAAGATTCAGGTATTGATTTAGGATGTCTAGACTCAAACTAGCATTTTTTTTTCTAATGTTAAACTTGGAGGCTATGACCTCGTTTCTTTAACCTCAAACCCACCAACCC